TGTTTTTTTTTTTTTGGTTTTTTGAGACAGGGTCTCACTATGTAGTTGAGACTGACCTAGAACTCACAATGTAGCCCAGGCTGGTTTCAAACTCGCAGTGATCCTCCTGCCTCAGCCTCCCGAGTGCTGGGATTACATGCATGTGCCACCATGCCCGGCCCAATTCTGACTTTTAAAGCATATGACAGAGCACCAGGGCCATCAGAATACTGTACTTATCATTCTGAAGTTGTCTCTGAGAGGACTCCCATATATCATTATTGGGAATCCAAGTGCACCTAGTGGAAAATGCAAATGCATACTTGGAAACTTAAACCAAGAATCTTGAGTAAATGCTAATATATTCACTAGATAATATGATATATAAAGGAAACATTTTTATGTAATGTAAAAGCTATCCGGATACAGGATGGGTGGGGTTGAATCTCAGTAGTAGAGCACTTGCCTAGCATGCATAGAGCCCAGAGTTTGGTTTGATTCTGGAGGAACAAAGAAACAGCAAAAAAAACAAAACAACAAAACAAAAAAAAGCTGTGGAACTGTTCATATACCTGTAACCTATTAACCCGACTTAAAAATATAATTTAAGGCTCTGGGGGGGTGTACATAATTCAGGGACAGGGCACTTGCCCAGCACACACAAGGCTATGGGTTGGGTCTCCAGAACACCACACCGCACACACACAAGCCAAGTTAAAAATTGTGTATGAAATGTAATTGCAATTATTTCTTCTTTAAAACCTATATATTGCAGCCAGGTGCTGTGACACACACCTGTCTTTCCAGCATTTGGAAAGCTGAGGCAGAAGGATCCCATATTCAAGTCCTACCTTAGTGACTGAACCAGACTTGTGTCAAAATTTAAAAAGGCTGGGGGGGATGGGTTTGACCCTCATACTAGGCAGGGGGAGGGACCGAGAAAAACCAAACCTACATATTAGGGAAAAGGCTGGAAAACAAGTGCACAGAAATGTTAATGGCATTTATGCTTGGCTGATAAGACAGCTAGTATTTTCTTTTCTCCGTATGCTAAAATTTTTAATAAGTATGCACTTGTTTTACAACGAGGCAATAAAAAGGGGAAGAAAGGGAGGTGGGAGGCAGAGGCAGAGAGGGAGAGGGGGAGAAAGGAAGGGAAAGAATGCTCAGAGGTTAGGAAACTGAGAAATTAGAGCAATTAGTTACCAACTAGTCAGTGCTGTATTTAACTGTTTATCCTAGCAAAGAAGATTGCTTGCTAAGTGACCACAGTTAACTCATGGAACATTTAGTGGAATATTTGTGTCAGAGGGACATCTTGCCTAATCGTTTCATTGAACAGGTGTGGCAAAGAATTATAATTGTATTCTTTCTGTTTACAAACTTCTTCCAAACTCACATCACCTGTCCCTCAAAACACCTGTTCACACGTTCTATTCTACGGATTAGGAAACAGGGCCAGGGACATAACGTGCTTCACTAATAATGCCTATCACTTATGGAAGGCTTACCATACGCCTGCCTCTGCCTAAGCAGAATCTACTGAAAAGTATCCTTATTTTACAGATAGGAAAACGGATGACTTGCCCACAGTCACACGACTAAGATCCGAGTCAAAGCCCTACCTTTAAAATACAAGTCTTGAGTTGCTAGCCTTCACAGAGCTCTTTAGTTGGAGTTGGCCTATGACTTAGTCGCTCTGTACTACACTGTTTTCAACGGCTAAGGTTTCTTTTAAAGTTTCTTAGTCGTAGGTGTATCTTAGTGGTACAGTGCATGCTTAGCGTGCAAGACCAAAAAAAGTTACTTAGTTTGACAGCCGCTCTATGGGTCCAAAAGGAAAAGTAATAGCACAGTAACACCCCCGAACTAAAGTTGGCGACAGCCTACGTTCCCGGGGAAGGCAAGGCGGTTATTGTCTAAAGGGGAGGGGACATGGCTAACAAGTCTTAATCAGGAATTTCCAGGAAACACACTACCTCAGCAGCAGGGACAGCAACAACAAGCACAAAACCAGCAAGGCGAGCACCCTGCACACGCGCAACAGAGCGGCGTCCAGGCCAACCTCACACACTCTCCGGGGTCCTCGCGGGCAGCAGCCGCGGAGAAGCTCACTCTTAGGTGCGCGGGCGGACACCTGGGGGACACCGGCCCCGCCCCCGTGGGGGAGGA